GATGGGACTTGTTAGGCAACATATTAGCTAAAGAAACCGAATAAAGGTGCAAAAAGCCCTCCCCTTAGTCCAAACTGCGCTAATTTTCACTTTAATGACCCACAAATCTTCTGAACGCACCTACTTACACTCTCAATTCACCCGCTCCCTTGATTTTCGCATCACTCTGCGCGCACCCAATACTGCTTCCTCACTCCTTCTTCTGCTTCCTCCCCAATCGAAGTCGCCTCGCTTTTCAGCTACCTTATAGACCACAGCGATAGGAGCTCCGCTTATAAGCTTATGGCCTCGCATCAATATTGCATGGGAGAAAACAGCGAACGCTCACTCAGCACAAAACAAAAGTATAATAGAGTTTCATCGAGCACCAGAAGTCATAGACAATCTATATTCTCTCACTGCTTCCCCAGAAAGATTAAAAGAATTGGTTGATTACGCTCACAACAACCTAGGAAGGTGCAGTTCTCCTTGGTGGGCGCATTTTGCTGTTCCCACTGCCCCTGCCTATGCCTCCTGTGGATACCTGCAAATTCACCTAACGCTAGGAATGCAGGAGCTTTGCTTATCCTTGACAAGAGTCTACAGGTCTAACCTTGGTGAAAGGTGTAATTTAACAGGAACTGGTGAACGAAACTAGCGAAAGTGTAAAATGCCCTCCCCCTGAGCCAAACAGCGCCCCAAAGAACTCCCGATTCTTTATGACTACTAACGAAAACAAGTTCACACCGGACTCTAACAATAGGTGTACAATTTTTTTTCGTGAAAAAATCATTCCAAAAATCAATATCCACCGCTTCAACGTAGCCACCAGCACATTCATTCACGCCTCCCTGTCCCTTCGCTCTTCTAAATGATTCATGCGGCAATAGAGTCGTCGACTTTAATAACCTTGGAAGGGGCATTTAAAGGACACCTTGTGCAAAATAAATGATCGTAGGGGGGATAAGGACTTTAGCCCACGCTCAAAGCGGCTAAGAGTTTCGGGGTAGGTGAATTAAGTACAAGTACGATGATCCTACTCGGACGACTTCATCCCAGTTTTGCTTAAAGAGTCTTTGCATGCCCCCCCCCTGAAATTATTAGCGGCGTCTTATTGCAGTGTAGTGCCGTCTTACTGCACATTTTACACGCCATCATGAAACTCGAAATCATCGTGTTACTAAACAACTCAGTTCGAAGCCAGGGAACAGCATCGTTGTGTGAAACACAAAGGGAGTTCGCACTTTCCCGCTGGAGAGGGGGGCGCCTATTTAGTCGTGGGGGGGAGTCGTATGTGCCTTCAAGGGAAATTTGCTGTGTAGTGAAAACATTCTCCCGGTTTCTGACTTTTCATGGTTTTCCTGTTTCATGTGTACTATATCCCCCACTCCCCCCCCTCCTGCTCGACAACAAAATTTTTGAGTGAAAAACCGGAAAATGTGGGAAATTGAGGTAGGTGGGGGTGATACCGAGATCCTCACTTGAGTGGGCGGGTCGTACTGAAACCCTCTCTCCTCCCTCGGAGGGGGTGGGGGAGGAGATCGTACCTAAACCAAAATTTCAGTTGTACCCTGTTCGCAGCTCGGCCAGCAGAGGGAGTGGGTGGGGGGGGGTATTCTGCATTTCCGCTGCTTCCCGTTGTCGCAATGAGCTATCAAGTAGAGACTAGCGAAATCTCGTGCAGCCATGAAGTATTAATACTCCAAGTTCGAAGAAAGTACATGTCAACTCGCGTAAAGAATACTTGTCAATTCTTGTAAAGCAACGAACATGACAAAGGGAACCAGAGAAGGTGCAAAATGCCCCCCCCCCCTCCACTCTCTCGGTGGACTGCACCCAAATTATAGTCGGCAATTTGGGCTGTCAATCAGAAGATCTTCGTTGAGGCGAGACGCAAAAACGAGTTAGGGCTTTCCTAGCTAGTCGACTAAGCACGTTGTAGTACTTCCACGTTATATCGCTTGAAGGCAACTAACACGATAAATCCATAAAACGAGTGGGATTAATCGCGCGGCAGGGTTGAACTTCGCGACCTTGCAGGCGCTGCGTAATGCCTTTTCCAAGGGAGGTACCCTTATAAGGGCCCTATCAAGCTACAACATACCGACCCGGAACGCCCACCGCGCCCGCCCGCCCACAAATGGACGGCCGTACTCAGATTTTATTTGCTAAGTAAAATATGAAGCGAATTAATCGGTATGAAGCGGCCGCGGTGCTGCATGGTTATATGTATGTGTACATACGTGCAGCCGTACCTACCGTAGCGCCTGTTGGCAAGATGCCTATGGGAAACTCGTCCGAAATTGATTTTTGTGTCATTGAGAACGAAGGAAACACTCCGCGGGAGTGTTTACTTTTTTACTTCGTTTTTTCGCCATTTTCTTACTATATAGCACCCTGCTAGTGTTTCAGGCCGAGTACCAAATTATCGTGCCAACTCCCTTTGAGTTCTGGCGCGAGTGCCACGCACACAACGCCGCCTTCGTCGCGTCGCTGCAAGATGGATCGCCCAACCGAAACCCAGTTATATGTTGCAACAACACAATATGAATACTGACAAATCCCCTGACCTGGAGTATATACTGCATTCGGATGTGGCATTGCATTCATATGCGGCTGTACTTGTGGTGGACCACTTCCGACTGGCACTTGCATCAGAGATGGAGGTAGAGTGGAAGGTAATGGAAGACCAGCGAGGCAATTCCGTGTCAATCGCATAGCTATTGAGAATTCTCTAACATCAAGCATACCATCTCGATTCGTGTCCGATAAAGCCCATATCTGAAAATGATTACATTTTGGGTGGTAATTTCACCACAAATCGAAATATGTAGCTGATATCGCCGTAATCAGTCGGGCTGTGCCAGGATGAGATGAGCCCGCCTCCAGCTGCTCTGCTCTACCAATAGTAATCGCTCAGTGACCAATTTGAGAAGAAAATAAACAGTGGCTAAAAAGCCGCGGATGGGCTCCATTCCACTCCCCTTGGAACCGTCCCGACTGACTGCGACGATATCAGCTGTGGTGTACAAAGGGCACCGCATCGCTGTGCGAAACACATAGGGCGGGGGGGAGGCGTACGTTACGGCTGGGGAGGGGAGCGGGGTCTTATTCGGTCGTTGTTGTGAGAGGGGAAGTTGTATGTGGCTTCGAGAGAAATTAGCCGATAAGAAAATAAGAAAATTAAGGAATAAAGGAATAAGAAAATTCTCCCAATTGTTGTGTTGTTTTATGTAACCCCAACCCCCGCTGGACGGAAAACCTCTGAGTGAAAAACTGGAAAAGGTGGGCAGGTGCTGGGGAAGGGGTGGGGGAAGGTCGTACCGAGACCATCCTCTAGGTGGGAGGTCTTACTGGCACCACCATTTCACACTCACGATGCTGTACCCTGGATGTACAAGCGGAGGGTTGATGCGCTACTCGCTGACGCTGAATTTTTTTGGGGTTCCTACTGGGGGAAAACTAAGTTCGCTAGAAAGATGTCACTGTAAAATGACACTAAGGAACTCGCAAGGCCTAAGCAACTCTCTTCCGCTCCCCCCCCCCCCACCTTCCACTGAACTCGGTTGAAACGTAAGCGCGTGTAGTGACCTGGTTCAAAAATCCGTGATGGCGCGTCAGGAATTTCTTCCAATGCCGAAGTAATGTAGTGGCAAGTGGAAGAGTCAAATTTCAGATCGCCTCGCGCCCGAGCCATGAAAGTCTTCCAGATTTTCGATGCCAATTAACCAGGTGCCAAAAATGTCCGCAACATGTCCGGGAGTTATGTATAGTCCTAATCGTTGCGGGTGAAGGGGAGTGTCAAATGGGATGCGTTTGATGGGGCACCAAATCCGCTCTCCACCAGTTGTTGAAGCGGGTAAGCGACATGGTGAAAAACGACTGCTACGAACGATAAGACACAATCTTAAACCTTGCTCGTTTCAATAACCGGCGG